TTGTGTCTGGGCCTCCCCCGCCACATGGGGGCTTCTAGAGGTGAAAGGATTACCTGGGGTCTTGTCTAGCACACATTTCTGGGTTATCTCCACCTTTCCTTGCCTTAAACTATCATAGTAAACTGAACTGACAGTAAACTAATAGCAGTGCAAAAGATTCCTGCCTGGTCAAATAGGGTTGGTTATCTCCCTCTGGATATTGACTAGTTTGGGGGCCACTTATAAATTTATTTCAGCATTGCTGATCACCTGTATGCATGTGTTCTTTAGATTCTCCTTTGAACTGGTTGTAACTTTTTTTTATTTTTTGAGAAGAGAAATTTCATGATTTTGCTTTATTGGAGAGGGAAGGATCAAGGGGATATTTAACCAAAGGAAAAGGAGCCCTGGCCGGTTTGGCTCAGCAGTTAGAACATCAGCCTGCTGTCCAGAGAGACCCGGGTTCGGTTCCCGCTAAGGGCATGTACCTCGGTTGCAGTTTGTCCCCGGCCCTGGTTGGTCGTGCGGGTGGCAGCCACTCGATGTGTCCCTTTCACGTCGATGTTTCTCTCTCTCTCTCTTCCTCTCTCCCTCCTGCTCTATCTGAATAAAAAATGGGAAAATGTCCTCGGGTGAGGATAAAATTAATAAATAAATAATAACCAAAGGAAAAGGAAAAACAAGGGAAGTGAGCGCAGTGGAGCTGGTGCAGCCAGAGGGACTGCCTCCAGGAGGACACTGAGCGCCACCACGAAGCCAGGCCAGGACCCCACAGCCCTGCGGCTAGACCCGCACGCCCCTCTGAGGCCTTCCTGAGGGAGGCCCTGACCCAGAGAAACTTCAGAGGCCCAAGAAGAGATGGGTGACCCGAAAGGGGCTGTGAGGCTGGCCAGGCCTCCAGTGGGGCCGTCTGTCCTCCAGGGGAGGCCTCTGAGCCCCGCTGGCTGAGGGGAGGAATGCAACACAGTCTAAAAGCATCCATCCTGAGTCAGAGGCGGCACATTTCATTTCAAATGAAGTCCTAGTCAGGTTAGAGAAGATGCCTGCACACCCTCCCTGTCACCTGCCCAGCGGGCTCTGGGCCAAGGTGGGCATCTGCTTGACTTTCTAGCTGTGCCGAGGACCAGCTCCCACCACTGGGTCCACTGTCACCACCGACACCCTCTCCCAGCTCCCAAATAAGTCGCGTGGTAACAGGGGTCAGGGGCTGGAGTGGAATTGGGGGATGCATCACAGGCAGGCTGGTGGGTGACCAGGGTACGTGGGTGGGACTGTGCAGGGCTCCCCACAATGAGTGACCAGCAGCACACACAGCTTTATTAAATGTATTGGGGTGACATTTCTTAATAAAATTATATGGGTTTCAGGTGTCCTATCTGAATTTCTTTGGGCAGATAAGGAGGAGGTAAAGGGCACTTCCTGAGTCTTTTGTTTCTTAAAAAAATAACCAGTTTAAAATAGTCAGTATTCCAAAAAGGCATATTTTGGGGTGGGAAAATGCTGCTCCCCTTCACTGGTTAGAGCTCGTGTTTATCAAAGCAAAAACGGTACTGGACAACATGAAACAGGCAAGGAGGACTTTTTAAAATTTTGTTTTTATTTTTCAATTACAGTTGACATTCAATCTTCTATTGGTTTTAGGTGAAGGAAGATTTTATTGAAGGGTATTGCAATAGGGAGAGGCCGGAACTCAGTGTGAGCTGAACTCAGCTGAAACAGAAGGCAGTTGGTTTTTTTTTTATTCCTCACCCAAGGGAGGACTTTTTTTTTTTTTTTCATTTATCTTCAGATAGAGGGGGAAGGAGAGAGGGGAAGAGAGAGAGAGAAACATCAAAGTGAGAGAGATACATCAAGTGACCGCCACCCACACGACCCCAACTGGGGCCGGGATGAACTGCAATCAAGGTACGTGCCCTTGGCTGGAATTGAACCCGTGATTCATTGGTCCACAGGCTGACGTTCTGACCGCTGCGCCAAACCAGCCAGGATGGCAGTTGGGTTTTTAAGAGCTGGAGTGATGGAGAGATCATAAGTCATCTGTGTTTGCTAATTGGCTTTACCCAAAAGAAAGGACGCTTTCTTGTATCTTCATGACAGGAACTAGTTTTACAAATAGGAGAAAGGCACCCATTAAAGTTAGGCTCTCACTGTCCTAGGGAAACTGGGAGACAGAGATGCTACCTCTTTTGATGTTGACATTTTAAAGAGACGGTTCCCAGAACCTTGAGAAAGATTATTTCCTGGGCTGTAAAACTGGCAAGAGGTTCTTAAAGAAATATACACATATCTCAAAAGAGCAACATGAGCCCAGCTGGTGTTGCTCAGTGGCTGAGCACCGACCCATGCACCAAGAGGTCTTGGGTTCGATTCCTGGTCAGGGCACATGCCCAGGTTGTGGGCCGATCCCCAGTGGGGGGCATGCAGGAGGCGGCCAATCGATGTTCTCTCTCATCGATGTTTCTATATCTCTCTCTCCTTTCCTCTCTCTAAAATCAATAAAGAAAAATTATTTAAAAAAAAAAAAGAGCAATGTGAGAATTTAGGAGAAGTTTTCTAAAGCAAGTTAAATGCTCCAAGAAAAGGGAGATCTGGGGCCTCTGTGGTCAGACAGTCTGGAGTCTGTCAGGTGAGAGGAAGATCAGGGAGAGGCAGAAGAAGCCTGTCTAAAGTTTAGTTGAGCTGAGGGAAAAGTTACAGCCATCCTGGTCATGCTCCATTAACCCAGTCTGCCTAGATTCAAAACCAGTCTCTACTGCTTATTGGGGCAAGTTTCCCAACCTCTCTGGGCCTGGTTCCCTTGTCTTGTAAAATACAGATGATTAATACTTACCTCATAGGATGGTTGTGTAGGTTTAATATGTTAATACAAGTACAGCACTTAAAACAGTACCTGGCACATAATAAATGTATTGCTTGCTGTGGGTTAAATTACATTACCCTCTGCACCTCATGAGAATTTATATAAAAAATTAAATGAAGAAAAAAATTTTTAAAAAGAATTATATATATATATATATTTTTTATCCTCACCCGAGGACATTTTTCCAATTTTTTGTTCAGATAGAGTGGGAGGGAGAGAGAGAGAGAAATATCAACATGAAAGGGACACATTGAGTGGTTGCCACCCGCACAACCCAACCAGGGCCGGGGACAAACTGCAACTGAGGTACGTGCCCTTAGCGGGAACTGAACCCGGGTCTCTCTGGACCGCAGGCCAACGTTCTAACCACTGGGCAAAGTGGCCAGGGCAAGAAGAAGAAAATTAAATGAGATGATGAATGTAAACACCCTTAACACAGGCCTGGTATCTGGTAAGATTTTTTTTTTTATGTTTTTATTGATATTTTAGAGAGAAAGGAAGGGAGAGAGAAATATTGATGTGAGAGAAAAACACACCTCCTGCATGCCTCCCACTGGAGATGGAGCCCACAACCTGGCCATGTGCCCTGATCAGGAATCAAACCGGGGCCTCTCAGTCCATGGGACGACGCTCAATACACTGAGTCACACTGGCCGGGCTCGGTAAGACTTAAAAAATGACCAACATTTTTGTAACTATAGTTACTATTTACCACTTGTACTTTGCTCAGGCTCTTCTTAATTCTCTCTTTTGTTACTCTAATCATTTTTTACTATTGTTTTATTACCTCAAACTATTCCCTATTAATTGTAGTATCAGCAATATTGCTATTATTATCATGCTATTCCCTTTCATCAAGCAGTCCCAAAGCCTGCCAGCCCATCTCATTCCCAAGCCAGGCTTTTCCTCCTTGGGGCCTCTATACCTTCATCTGTTTGGAGGAGATGGAGATGGGGCTCAGGCCCATATCCCCAACAGGAAGCAAAGACTGACAGCAGCACCCTCAAGCCCTTTGGACAAGTGGGACACAGTGGATGAACCCACTGAATGATTAAGAAACCCTACAGAGCCCTGGCCAGTGTGGCTCAGTTGGTTGAGCATCAACTCGTTGAGCAGCATGGAAAGGTCACTGACTCCATTCCCAGTCAAGACATATACCCAGTGTATAGTAAATAGAAACAGGGACCCCTTCCCATACTCCAACTCCCCTTCCCATCCTGTAGGAAATATAGTGTAGGCCATCTGTAAGCGGACTATGAGACTTTGGGAACCCGATCAGAAGAAAGAACAAAGAGAAACTGCTTCTAGATGTGAACTTGGATTATAAACAGCTGGCGTTTTGATCTCATGCTCATCCCTGCACGCCCTGTTTTCCGTACTCTTTAAAAACCTTGTCTGGGAAAGTCTGGGTGGCAGTGAAACAACAGCACTGACTGGCCATCCCGGATGGGACTTAGCGGTTCGGCTCCACCAGTGGCAGCCAGTGCAGTGGTAAACTTCACTGGTTGCCCACCACCCATGTGCATGAAAGTCCTAATAAACCCATAAACCCATGTCTTTCACAACCAGTCCTCCAGGTTATTTCTTTGGAAGCCAAGAACAATATACTGAGGTTTTTGGGGACCTCAGCACTTGGTACAACACCCAGGTTGTGAGCTCAATCCCTGGTTGGGGTGTGTAACAGAGACAACCAATTGATGTTTCTCTCTCACATCAATGTTTCTTTCTCTCTCTCTCTCTCTCTCTCTCTCTCTCTCTCTCTCTCTGCCTTTCCCTTCCTCTCTCTAAAATCAATAAAACCATTAAAAAGAAAAAACCAGATAGATGGCAAGGTGGGTGGTGCCTGGGCACAGTGTACAAACCCATTAAACAAAATTGCCCTCTGCTTCCTAGCATTGATAAAGAACAAGGATTCACCCCACAGCACTGATTAATGGATTCAGCCAGTGTCCCCCTCCCCAGGGGGATCATCCATAAGCTGGCTAAACCCTAGGAGACGAAAGTTCAAACCCAAACTTCCCCCAGGGCTGTCCCAGCTCCTCTGTTAAAGGTCTTGGCATTTTCCGCCCTAGCTCAGCTTCAAGAGGTTATTATAAGAAGCGAGGCAGAAATGATTCCTTCAAAATACTGTACAAAGCAATTCAATTTTATTGAGGTCTTTATGTTCCAGAAACTGACCACATAGAGGCATAAGGCATGGTCCCTGCCCTTGAGGAGCTCACAGTCTAGTAAGACAGCAGCTGAAACAATTCCCACAAAGATGGAGGGGCAGGCCCAGCAGCCATCAGAGGAAGGAACCATTATTCACTCCGCCCACCATGTTCCAGGTTAGCTATGAGAAAGCTTATCATTGTCTCTCCCACCATCCCCGTGACAATTCTAACTACTCTGAAACCTAGTCACCAAAAGGACAAGGGAGAGACGATGAGGGGGATATTGCTGCCTCAAAAAGTTAGAACCCAGAAGGATATATACAATGGTAACTTTATTTCCCTAGGCCGCAAACCAGCGCAGCAGAAGAAGCTGGGGGTTCTGAGGTAAATTGGAAGAACGGGCTGGGCCAGCCCAGTCCAGTGGTGGGAAAGGGAGAAGAGGGTACCCAGGGCCAGGGAAGGAGGGCAGTAGGGAGGTTTCCAGGTGGAGAAGCTCATAGTAGGAAACCAGCAGCCACAGCCAACACAAGAGCCGCCAACCCAGCTGACGGAGCTGCAGAGCCTTTACTAGGGGTCCAGATTTTTGTGGGGTACTGCTCCTTATTACTACGGTCCTGGTGGCCAGCAGCACCTCCAGCCGAACTAGATTCCTCTTTTCTGGAGGTCTTGGGTTCTACTTCCTTTGGAAGAGTCTGGCTGGCGGAGGCTGGGGTGGATTTGGTAGTAGAGACAGGCGTGGTTGGGGCTTGGGTGGAAGTAGTAACACTGGTAGTTGGAGCCAGAGTGGTAGGCTGAGCGGCGGGCAGCAGAACAAGGGGCGGAATTCGAGGGGAGAAGTAGGTCTTGTTGCGGAGGTCTGAGTTACAGCGGGACCCCTTGCAACAGGAGCCACTGAGTGTGAACCCCGGGCCTGTCACCGCATCCCGGGTGCAGAACTCATTCTGGACGCAGCCCCGGACAGGCAAGGACACAGTCACATTAGCTGAAGGAGGAAGACACAGATAGGTCGGTGATTGAAGCCGGTGGGGGGTAGGCACAGCCCGAATGAAATTTGGAGGTTAAGAACCCTCAAAACAAGGGACAGAAGGGCTCTGGTTCCACTGATCCAAAGTCTCAACTCAGGCCCCACTTTGAGAAACACTGTCCAGGTCTTTGGCATATGATGGCTCACATTTCCCATAGTAGTTTGACAGGCTGAACTACAAGTCCAACAATGCCTTTGAAGAAAGGTTTGGACAGGGATACAACACCCTCACATGACCAAAGAAAACATCAAACGTCCCCTCCCTCCCTCCAGTCATTTACCACAGACCTCTCCCCCTAACATTACAAATATTTAGTCTGAGTCAGAACTACATCTCCCATAATACACCTGGCAAAGGATGGCGTTTGAAGAACTTCATCTCCCATGATTCCTTGAGGCAGAGGCCAGAAGGCTGAACCTCATCTCTAGTTTAGGAGGGCACCCTAACCCCTTGAGTTTTAAAGAGTTAGAAATAGATACCCCGCAATGCCCGGGTAGAAACTTGAGGGTTTAACTACATTTCCCATTAAACATGCCTGCATTCTGCACTTAGGCCTCTGTGGAAATGTATTTCCCCAAAAAACTAGGACAAAAAGCATCCCTCATCCCTATTCCCATGCTATGCTGGAGCTAGGACTGCATTTCTCACAACGCTCTAGAAACCAAGACAAGCACCTAGGCCCACAGCTCCCAGAATGCGCTGGAGGTGGGGAACCCTTTAGGGAAAGGGCTACCGTCGCCTAGGAGGCCTCAGAAAGGTTACAGCCCCGCGCTCCCGGGCGCGCTCACCTGCCGTCAGGGTGACGTTGCCATCGAAACAGCCGTTGTAGAAGCGGTCGCTGGCGTTGTAGCAGCTCACGACAGGCGGCGCCGTGCCCTGGCACTCCTCGCGGCTCAGCCCCACGCAGCTGTAGCACTCGGCCCCGTTGGGCTCGTACGCACTCTCATTACCTGCGAGGGGGCGGGTTGGAACGAAGGGGTCGAGAAGGTTCGGAAAGCGCACCTCCACCTGAGTTGGCTCCAGCCCATGTCTCCGCCCCTCGACCGACGCTAGTTCAGCCTCCAGCTCCGCCCACCCTGTGAACCCGCCCCTAGCGTCCAACCTCACAGGTGCCCACCGCAGTGAAGCCCCGCCCATTGCATCCTGGCCCCGCCCCAGAGCGTGGCCCCGCCCCCAGCCTTTCGCGTTTTCTCTGGTTCCAGCTGGAAAGTGGCTCAGGCCCCACACGGCTCCACCCCTGGGACTAGGGCTCCGCTCCCACCGACCTACGGGGATGAGCGCTCGTGTGGTGAGGTTGAGCTTGGCGTTGCAGCGGTCCTGGGAGCATTGCTGCAGCTGGATGAAAGCCAGAAGCCCGTAAAGGTCCAGTCCGCGGTCATTCTTGCCCGGGAGTCCCGAACCGCAGCCGCGCACTGCCACGGAGAATTGCCCGTGGACTGCGGAGAGGGAAGGGAGGGAGGTGAGAGGAGGTTAGGCCCTCAGAAAGAGCCGATCCGGAGGAAAGAATGACAAACGGAGGGGTGGAACTTCAAAATGCCCCATCCAAGGGGCTGCCAGGCTGACAGACACTGAACAGAATCGAGGGGGAGGGCTATAAGATGGGCGGAACCGCTGAAGGCAACCTCAGAAGGAACTGAGAGACTGCCAAAAAGGCACAGCATCGAAGGGGTGGGGCCTCCTGGGATCTGTGGCCTCAGACGGGTGGGATGTGGGTCAAAGCGTCGGAGACTCCGCCTAGGGAACCTAACAGACCTCTACAGAAATCTCCATCATCAAGCGCCCCACTGGATAGGGGAGGCTGAGTTGGGGAGGAAAACATTCTGGCAGGGACAGAAATGGATAGGGAGAGCTCAGGGTGGAGCAGAAATGGATAGAGTGTGCCCTGGAAGGGGACGAGGTCCCAGATCCCACCCTTCCTAGTTCACCCCATCCAGTTCTCAACTCTCAGCCCTTCACCCCTCTAAGCCTAACGTGTGTTGGTGTTGAAGGGTCTGGACCAGTCTGAAAGGGACGGATGGGGCTGCTTAGAGGGGTGTGACCAAGTTCAGAGGGAGGGGCGGAACTATAAGGAGGCGGGGCCTGACTGGAGGAGCTTAAAGGAGTGGGTACATGGATCAGGGCGCCCCACTCACTGGTCTCCAACGCCCCCACAGCCTCCGTGCAGACTTCTACGCCTGGTGCGCACTTCACGATCTTGGTCTTCTCCTTAGAGCATCCGTCATCTGCTCTCTGCACGCAGCTGTAGCACTCCAGGGCCTGAGCTCCTGGGGATGCAGAGCGGAGTAGAATAAGCAACCCCTGCTTAAGCCTTCCCACGAAGGAGAAACAGTCCTTCCCACGTCCTCTCTCCCCAGAACGCGACAGTCCTATTGCACATCCTTTGCCAGCGCAGGAATAAAGAAAATCTTCCCACAAATCTGGGATGGGATACATTGTCTTCCTTTCCTTCAAGACCCCCTGTGCCTACAGTGGGAGCATCTTTCCCACAGCGCCATATGCCAAGGTGGGGGAATCCCTGACCTGAAGCTCTGGGAGAACTCTGCCAAGGATGGGGAGTACCTTCCCACACCTCTCCGCTCAGGATAGGAGAATTTTCCCCACAGATGAGTAAGCTCATTGAGGCATCCCTTCCCACAAGCCCCCTCTAATCAGAGCAGGGGACCTTCCCACAGTCCCCCTCTACTCAGGTTGGAAGAGCTCCCACAGCCCCCCAGGGCAGGAATCTTTCCCACCGCCCCCTCTGTAGGGAGTGAGGGGACCTTCCTCCCTAGAGCCCCCACTCTGTCCACTTTGCTCCTCCATTCCCTCCCCACAGCAGACCCACCTTCTTCTTTTTTGTTTTTTAAGAGAGAGAGAGAGAAACATTGATTTCTTGATCTACTTATTTATGCATTCATTGGTTGATTCTTGTCTATGCCCTGACTGGGGATGGAACCCACAACCTTGGCATATGGGGACAACACTCTAACCAACTGAGCTACCCAGACCCACCTTGAAGCAGCAGCAGCAGCAGCCAACCTGTAGTCCAGATCACGGCCTGGGAGCTTGCTCTCCTGGCGGGGTCCATGATTCGATCCTGCTCCCTCGGCGTCCCCCCTCAGTGTGCCACCTCCCAACCCAGGTCCTCTTACCTGAGCTCAGGATGAGTAACCTCCCCCCAGGCAACCTTGCCCTTGCCCAACCAGGCCAAATCAGCGTCCGCTGTAGGGCGGGACACCCGCCCCTGGGTGCCTCACCCATAGTTGCCAAGGAGGGAAATGGCGGGAGTCCAGGTTTCCTCACAGTTCCCAGAAGAAAGTTTGTGTTTGGGGGTAGAAGAGAGAATGCTGAGGTTCACAGAGGGGTCTACTCAACACTTGGTACTCACTAAATATTTAATGAGTACCTACAGTGTGCCGGCTCTGGTCTGGGTGGCCTGGAGATTAAGACAGAAACACTGCCTGTTCTTACAGAGCTTGCAGTCTAATGGGGGAGACAGATATTCATCAAATAATCATACAAATAGTCATTCACCACGAGGACAATAAAGGAAGAAGTGGAGAAAGCTACAAGGAGGCATGGAGTCTAGAAGTGGAGGCCAGTCAGTGAAGCTTCCCTGAAGATGTCATTTGAGCTGTGGCCTCAAAGATATGGAGGATTTGGTTCATGAAGCAGGTCAGTATGGGGACAGAGAACATCGCAAAACAGAGGGAGCAGCAGATGCAAAGACCTAGAGGTGGGAAGTAGCATGAGCCATTCAGACTCAGAGGAGAGCAGTGCACCTGGAGCTCAGGGCATGAGGGAGAAGGGTAGACAGTGAGGCAGAAGCACCAGGCAGGGGCCAGGTCATTTAGGGCATTACAGGCCTTGAGAAGGGATTTGAATTAATTCTGAGAAAGGTGGAGAACTGTTGACAGGGTCTCAGTCAGCTGGGGACACAATCAGATTTACTTTCTAATATGATCAATCTGGGAAATAATGCAAATATTCAAGAAGTGAATGGAAAAAGAAAGAGTGGTTCACGAATCCTGTGGAATACTACACAGCAATGAAAAAGCCAATGAATGGCCTCAGCAACTTGGATGAATCTCAAAAACTTCACGTTGAGCTCAAGAAGCCTTAAACAAATAAAAAAAACATACCTTGTAACTTCATTTATATGAAGTTCTAGAACAGAAAAAACTAATAAGTGGTGAGAGAAATCACAGTAGGAGCTACCTTTGGCTGGGCATTGCCCCAAAATAAAATGGTGAGAAGCCACTACAATCTTCATCTGAGTGGTAGTTACACATGTGTATAACTATGTAAAGGATCACCAAGCTGTTTACTTACGCACTTCACTAAATGTAGATTATTATTAAAGAAAGAAAGGAAAAATGTTTCTGTGACTTCTGTGTAAAAAAGGAAAAGACTCTAGAAGCAGATAAAGAGAGGACCAGGGATCCAGTGAGAGAACTGGGCAGTTTTCCATAGAAGAAAGAGAAAGGCAGCTCCTGACAGCTGGTTAGGAGTTGGGTTGGTACTCACAGTGAGGTCATGGTGTTCTGTGACACACCAACCCAGACCACTGCCATCAGACAGGGCCACACTGACTGGAATGGAGCGAGACACAATCAGGACCATTGCTTCCCCGTGTCTGAACACAGAAACTAACGAGCACTAGCAAACCACAAAATGACTAAGCATCCCCATATGCTGGCTAATATATGTGACTGTTTATATATTATATGATATTATATCATATTATTTATTATATTATACTATACTATATTATATTATGTAATATGTTAAAGTTACAGCTTTACTCCTGCTTTCTCTTGGCTCATAGATAAGATTAATCTATAGCGGTAAAAATAGCAGCTGTGTTCATAAGATATTTTCTGTTCCCCAGATGTCTTTGGGCACCCCCATTCCCGACAATGACTAACACCTTAGTCACATAGGTTGGGTCATTTGGCATCATGCTGACAGAGAAAGTGAATGACTGCTTGTGGGGTCATTCAGCATTGGCCCCCATCTCTCTGCCTCCCAGACTTGGAATCCCAACCCCACTTATGGTTTGCTGTGTGACCCTGTGTTAAGTGTCTTCACCTCTCTGAGCCTCAGGTGTCTGTTTTATAATAAAGGAAGGAGTGTCTTTCATGGTGAAGTGAGGCAGTGGGCAAAGTATGAAGTCTGGAGTTTTAATCCTGCCTCTGCTATCCTCCTGCTGTGTGACCTCAAACAACTGTGTCTCCTTCCCTGAACTTCGGCTGCCTCCTTTGCCAATAGGTAAAAACCCCTATCTCTTGAGGAGTTCAGGGAGGCCAGCTGGTGATACTATAGTGTGCTCAGAAGCCGGAGGCCCTGCAGGCCCTAGCCGCGTGGGAGAGTTTCAGGGAGGAACCCCAACTGGCTGGACCAGAAGAACTAGAGTCTTGGGAGGGAATGGGACCCAGGGTGGGGAGCCTCTCTTGCTCAGGCCTGCCCAGATTCTGGGCGCTGACCCCCACCTGGTCCCAGACCAGAAAGCAGAGGGAGATTTGGATGTGGGGCCTCTGCTCAAACTGATCAGTGACTCTTCCCAGCTTTTCTCCTCAGAGCTCACTGCAGAGCTCACTGGATTTAGAATCCAGTTCCCGATGGATGCACAGAGGGTCAGTGTGGAGGCGGTCCCCAGCCCTGGAGGTCACTCCAGGGCCACAGACAAGCCTGGGGCCATATCCACTACAGTTTCCTGTCCCCTGGGACAGGGCAGGCACTGAGCCCAGTGACATTCCCTGCCTCAGACCCACTCCCTTTGGGATGTACTGTCTGGAATGTGTCAGAGAAGGGGTGGAGTCAGAGCTCAGTGCAAAATGAAAATATGGGGATCCAGTTCAAAAAATCAGGAATAAGTGCCATTATAAGCACTAAAATTAGAAATGCTTTCTTTTTATTTAATGTGATTTATTTATTTATTTATTTATTTATTTATGTTTAATCCTCACCCAAGGATATTTTTTTACATTTATTTTCTCAAACAGCAGGAAGGAGAGGAGGAAGAGAGAGAGAGAGAAACATTGTTATGAGAGACACATCAATTGGTTGCCACCCGCACAACCCCAACCGGCGCGGGGACGAACCACAACCGAGGTACCTGCCCTTGGTGGGAAGCAAACCCAGGACTCCTTGCTTCACAGGCCGACACTCTACCACTGAGCCATCATGGCCAGGGCTAGAAATGCTTTCTTCCACCATCTCTCCCCACCCCTCATGGTGTTTAATGTCATGTTCTGTTGGGTATAGGGATACTTGTGAGGTGAGCACAGACCCTCACAGGTGTCTAGAGACCCTGCCCCACACCTAGAGTGGCCTAGTGGTGGGTCCCCCTTCCACAGGTGTCCATTGCCATGTCCCACCCTGAGATGCCATAAGGCACAAGTGCCTGACTGTACATTCAGGCCCTGCTGAAGCTGAAGAGTGGCAGTGGTCACAGGGAGGGGAAAGCAGACTGAACCCACCCCCGGGAGGTAGGAGGTGGAGACTTGTCTCCAACACCCCCAACTTGTTCTACATATCCCTTCAGACTTCACTTACAAAACACAAATTCAAATACAAAGTTAAGACTTTCCAGACAGCAACCACAGAGCATTAATCCTGAGAGGGCTCTTTTGAGCACAAGAACATGTCAACTAATTACACTGGTCACATGCCATGAAGTTGACCCAGTAAGTGCCCAGTCTGCAGAGGGGCTGAATTGATCCAAGAATGCAGATGTCTTTCACCTGGAGGTGGGGGTCAAGGGGCACCTGAGGTCACTGAGGGCCTGGGATTAGAGTGTCGGCATTTCTGAAACTCAGAATTACCAATTCTGGATCCTCAAGGAATCCTGGGACAGGACAAACAGAGGGAGTCAGAGGGGCTGAATGCCTCATTCTAGAGAGCTGGGGGTAGGGGAGACCGTCTCCACACAGCGACAGCCTAGAGTAGTCACTGTGGGGAAACCCAGGGGACTGTGGAAGCCCAGAATAGACCCCTGGCACAGCCTAGGGAGCAGGGAGAGCTTCTTGAAGGAGGGACACCTTGGGTCAGACCTAAAGGATAACGTTATGTCTGCCTTGTTCACCATTGTCCCCAGTCTCAGCATCATTCTGACCAATTTATTCAACTATTAGATATTTCCTAAACACCTAGTTTGCACTAGGCCCTGTCCTGTGCGTGGAGGACTCAAGAGTGACCAAAACAGCCACAGTCCTTGCCTTCTGGGGTTCCCATCCAGCACGGAGACAGACTCCTCAGCAGTGATGTCCCAGAGCAGTCAAAGTTGTGATGAGTGATCAGAGCTGCAATAGGAAGCCCAGAGGAAACATCTAACTCAGCCACGAGAATCAGGGAAGGCTTTCTGGAGAAGGAAATAGCTGAGCTAAAACCCAAATGATGAGTAGAAATTGGATGGAGTGAGGAAAGGTGTCTAAGCAAGGGAACAGTATATACAAAGAACAAGAGGTGAGGTGAAAGGAAGTTTTGTGGTTTTTTTTTCACTTTCACAGAATGAAATGTGCCTTATGGTACTGGGGACCAGGACAGCCAGCCCTGGCTCTGCCCTCATGGAACTCCCAGTCTATAAGGACAAAATCCATCACCAGTGATAATGTAGGTGTTCAGGAATGGGACAGAGAGGAGACAGAGAGCTCAAAGGGGTGCCTGACCCGGCCTGGGCAGTCAGGAAGGGCTTCCCAACTAAGGCCTGAAGAATGAGGAGCTAGCTGGTTAAGGGCAGAGCAGAGGGCATAACGTGCCAAGGTCTGGAGGGCAGGAGCCCAGGAGCTCTAGTAATTGCTGAGAGCCCAGTCAAATAAAAAAGGGTGGAAGCAGGTGGTTCCACAAACTTTAAAAAAAAAATGTCAAAGGTTAAGGACGCGTGCTTCTTTCTCCACACCCCTCTCCCAGCCGTGGCCTTATTGTTGAAAGTCTCAACTTTCAAAGAGGGGAGAACCGGCTGTGGGACACTCGGCTCTCAGAGATACCTAGGTTCTGCCTAGGGGGCCCAGGGGCCCGAACGCCTGGGTTGGAAAAAAACCACCACCAGTTTTTCCTCCATGTTTAATTCGGTATCACAGGAGCGCCAATAAATAGTTCCTTCCCGCCCCCGCAATCTTCTTCCTGCCTCGGACAGGGCCCGGGGCTGGCTTCCCGGTGGGGGAAGGCACCTGCAGCCCAGAAAACACTGCGGCTCAGGCCAGCAGAGCCGCGGCACCTGCAGAGTTCCCGGTTGAGTTCCAAAGGGGCCGGCCCGGGATTCCCGGAAGTGGGCGTGGCCTCACAGGTCGTCCCCACCCCCAAGAGGGTGGGGCCGCTCAGGGCACATGGTTCTCGTCAGCTGCGGTCACGATGACGTCCATCCAAATGCGCATGGCCTCGGGGCTGGGTGCCACCATGTAGAAAAGGCGTTCATAGGTTTTGACGCAAAACGTCAGGCGAGGGTTGGGGCTCTGGGATAAGTGGGGGAGTGGAGGTGGTTAAGAGGGCACAGACGTTGGAACCCCAGCCTTGCTGCGTACACAAGCTGTATGGCATTGGACAAGTTACTGAGACTCTCTGAATCTGTTTCCCCACCTGCCTTCCTAAACAATGCTACCTACCTCACTGGGCTCTAAAGATTAAATGAATTAACACAAGAAGGGGCTTAGAATTTAGGGAGAGAGGACTTTAAAAGGAGGACCCATGTTTGTTTCTCCCTGCCTACTTTTTCCTATATCCGAAATGTAAGAATTCAAATTTCCTCCCTCCAAAATGTAGGTCTCCCTGGTTTGTAACTGGGGAAAGCTAGTGTGTTCTACAACCCATTTACTGAGTACTTCTTGCCAAACCCAAATTCAGTAAATCTCTTACATCCATTATCTGTCTTTAACCTTCTCACCTCTGAGGAAATGGGTTGAAGTGCGCCCATTCTGCAGGTAAGAAAACTAAGGCTGACTAAAGGAAGTCACTTCCCTGATGTCCCATCTGGGTGCTTTCCACACTATTTCTAAACATTGTACCAGTTGCCAACATTTACATTTCTGGCACTGCACTGTAATAAAAGTTCAAATTCCTAAGTCCTCTAGGGGACTCCTAGGTGTGACATGGGGTGCATTCCTATTTCGCAACTCTGGGCAGTAGCTGGAACCAGTCTCTCCTCTAGATGCTCCCAGGCTGCCCCAGCCCTCACCCACTTCATTCATCTCCAGCTTTGCCAAATTTTCACTCTAAATCTTTTACTCCAACAAAAGTAAAAGTGGCTGAGAGCCACAGACTGCACTCTTAATTTTTGGTCCCTGCAGTGAAATAACCTGTTGATACCCTGACAGTGGGGGCTGTGGGTGGTCATTCCTGGGAACTAGCTACGGCTTGACTGCAGGGACTCAGACCAGGACAGGGCAGGACTAAGCGGGGACTTCACCTTGAAAGCACAGCGTAGGTGGTCATAATAGACTTCCTCGATGGCCTGGAAGTAGATGACGCCTTTGAGCTTGGACTCTTCCTTATCTGACAGAGGAAATGGGGGAGAAACAAACTGTTGTCCATGTTACTAAGGCAAGCTTTCCACAGGAGGAAGCGGGTGAAGATCTGGACTCCTGGGTCCCAGGGAAAAAGGGAGCTGGGAGCCCAGAGACGTGGGTGTGTGTGTGGCAGGGTGGGGGTCACTGGGCCCAAGTCCTAAGATTGGGGTTGGAGTGAGGAACATGGTGACATTCTGAAGGCCCCTCAAGTACTGTGGTTGAAAGGCGAATGAATGGTGATGCTAAATGGGAAGCTGGTGTGGAGTCTGGACGAGACTAGAGAATGGGGTTGGATTCCCAGGTCCCTGAATGCCTTGGTCACTGACAAGGGAAGAGACTCAGGAGAGGTCAGACTCATTGATTCCCCTAGAGAAAAAGCAAGAGCGGCCCAGACTCCTGGGTGCTGGAGGTGGGGGAGGGCACTGAAAATGTGGGTTCTGGCTCCCCCTGGGTATCTTAGGACAATAGGTCTGGGGAGCCAGAACTGTACAAAACTGTTGTCCATGTTACTAAGGCAAGCTTTCCACAGGAGGAAGCGGGTGGAGATCTGGACTCCTGGGTCCCGGGGAAAAAGGGAGCTGGGAGCCCAGAGTGGGTTAGGAAGGAATAGGGGACCAAACTCCTGGACCCTGGGGGACGTGGAAAGTGGGAGCCTAGACTCCTGAGTCCTGGGGATCCAGATCCATGGGCCTAAGAGAGAAGGGGGTGGGGTCGGGACTCCTAGGTGTCTGGGGAGAAGGCCGCGGAGTGGACTCTCCCAGGGGTGTGGGGGCCCACAGCGGCCAGGCTGAGTGTACCTGCGTAGTAGGCCAGCCGGCGGGCCTGGCGGTCAAAGCAGAACCACCGCTTCCTCCAGGTCTTGATGCGGCCGCCCATCTTCACCAGGGGCCCACGGCAGCAGCCCCCAGACACCTGGACATGTGGGCAGCTTTCGGGGTTGTGGCCCCAGCGTTCCAGATGCTGCCTGAGATCCAAGACCCGCAGGCCAGGAGGGCGGGGTGGGAGTGTGGGCGGGGCCTGGGAGAGAAGAGAAGGGGCAGCTGACTACAGGGAGTCAGGAGGGCGTCCTGAAGCCTGGAGCCCGCAGGGTAGCTGGTCAGGGCAGCTCACATGCGAGGCCTGCTACAGCTTTTAAACAGTTATATTAACAATGAGGAGCCCTGGCTCTGGCTGGTTTGGCTCAGCGGTTGGAGCGTGGGCCTGTGGACTAAAGAATCACAGGTTCCATTCCTGGTCAACGGCACATACCTGGGTAAGGTTAGGTCTGGCCCTGTTCGGGTTGTGCGGGAGGCAACCAATGGATGTGTCTCTCTGTCTCTCTTCCTCTCACTCTATCTGAAGATAGATGGAAACATGTCCTCGGGTGAAGATTTAAAAAAATAATAATACAGTGAGGAGCCCTCGCCAGGTAGTTCAGTTGGTTAGAGCTTGGCCCCCATATGCCAAGGTAGCTGGTTTGATCCCCCCTCAGGGCACATACAAGAATCGACAAATGAATGCCTAAATAACTGGAACAACAAATGGATGTTTCCCTCTCTCTCTCTCTCTCTCTCTCTCTCCCCCTTCCTCTCTCTAAAACCAATCATCAATACAAATATATGTATATTTTTAAATGACGACCATGGAGATGAACCTGATAGCTTCATCTATTGACTATGAAACTGTCTGAGCTTTACCAGCATCAACTCCTTGACTCCCCACTGCCATCCCTGGAACAGGGTTACTATGAGCCCCATATTACAGATGAGCAAACTGAGGTACAAAAGATGAAGTAATCCACCTGAAGTCACCCAGAGCTTAGATGGCAGAGATGGGACTGTAACCCAGGGCTCCTTGACCTAAGAGCTCACCCTGAAACACCCGAGGTATGTCAGAGAGGTGAGGAACCCCTAGGACTGGGTCCCCAAAGTGGGACCCTCATGTACTGCCTCTGTAAAACAGGGACCAAATAGTAAGTGATCAGTAAATGAGAGCACCATTTCCATTATTGTTGTGATGAAATTAATGACTATTACCTGTGCTAAGCACTTGATAGGTATAATGGCTCTGCCCACTCAAACCCTCTTGGGGACTAAGTACATTATTATCCCCTTTTTTTTTTTTTTTTTTTTTTTTGATAGAGAGGAAGAGAAACACAAACTTGTTGTTCCTCTTATTTATGCATTCATTGGTTGATTCTTGTATGTGCCCTGACCAGGGATCAAACCCACAACCTTGGTGCATCGGGATGATGCTCTAACCAACTGAGCTACCCAGCCAGGGCCATTATCCCCATTTGAAAGATGTAGAAACCAGACTCAGAGAGGCTATCACTAAGCCCAAGTCATACAGCCAGAGCTGACCAGGACAGGACTCCCAGGCAGTGTCATCCTAGGTGGCCATGAAGGGGAGAATTAAATTAAGGCCATGAACGTGTCTACTGTTACTAGGCTCAGCTTGATCGTACCCACTCTTCCCGAATAATCCCTGCAAAAAATGGTCTGACCCCGTAGTCATGAGGCTCAGGGCATGCCTGAGGCCAGCGTGCAAGCAGACCCCCTGGGCGTCTGTTAAAATGCAAACTCAGATTCAGTCATTCCAGGTGGGGCCTCGGGTGGGGTGAGGCTCTGCAGTCTAACAAGCCCCAGGAACACTGATGCTGTTGGTCCACAGACCACACTTCGAGTATCGAGGGCTGAGAAGACTGAAGCGATGCCAGAGCCAGAAGGGATGAGAAACAAATGAGACTCATAGGATGGAGAGTGAACAGGACAAGAAGGGGGATGAGGAGGAGCAGGTGGAATGCACAAGAGGGGCAGAGACTGGGGCCTGGAAGCATGTGGGTCATATCACCAAATCCACACAGTAATACTACAGATCACCAACATGTAGGGAAGGTCCCCCAGTGCATCTGGCACTGTGCCAAGTGATCACAGTGATCACCTTGTTTCTTCTTCCAAACCACCCATATTGTCCCCCATTTGACAGATGAGGAAACTGAGGCTTTAGAGAAGTGGTGACTCACCCAGGTCACCCAGGTAGGACATGGTAGAGTCAACCCTGATCCAGGAGAGCAGGAAGAGCTTGAGACTCTCAGCTCCAACCCTGCCCACCCGTGTCACCTCCACGTGACCCCTACCCCACTCAGAGCCTCAGTTTCCTGCACTCGTCCTCAGGGGGGTGCTTCAAGGATGAGCTCCCTACTGTCAGTGTCTCCAACCCGGTGATTCTACATTTAGCACAAACCCAGAGATCCTAGTTAATAAATGATGCTGTTATGAAGCAGGGTGCTTCATTTTTAATGAGCTGATGACCCGAAGGTCTGCCACCGCTCCAGTTCTTTTACCTCCTGGCTCTCATCAGCACCTGACACGCACCTTATCTTACTGACTGATGCAGCTTTTTGTCTGTCCCCCGCCCCCCCCCCCAATAAATGCCAGCTTCCCGGAGGGCAGGGGTTGTCATTTTGGTCACTGCTGCCACTCAGGAGCCACTGCACCAGGGACACCCCATAAATATAGGTTGAAATGAATAATGAAAGCAGCAGTGGTCGGGAAAACAAAAAGCAGGTTGGGAATGATGTGCTCATTTTCAAGAAAAAGAAATTTACAAAATATGGTTTGATCAGTGTATATAAAAAAGTGTAAGAAGTCCAGCCAGTGTGGCTCAGTGGTTGAGCGTTGACCCCTGCACCAGGAGGTCGCCGGTTCAATTCCTGGTCAGGGCACATGCCCAGGTTGAGGACCAGATCCTCAGTGAGGGACATGCAGGAGGCGGTCAATCAATATTCTCTCTCATCATTGTTTCTGTCTCTCTCCCTCTCCCTTCCTCTCTCTCTAAAATCAATAAAGGGGGGAAAAAAGTGTAAGAAGATTTGAAGACTTTTTAACAAGAGAAAACATCTGCACCTCCAGAGGTGTGAAAGGGAGGAGGGCTCAAAGGTGACCTTCAGCCCTGGCCAGTTTGGCTCAGTGGTTGGAACGTCGGCCCACAGACCAGAGAGGCCCAAGTTCAGTTCCCGCTAAGGGCATGTACCTCAGTTGAAATTTGTCCCCAACCCCAGTTGGGGTCATGTGGGTGGCAACCAATTGATGTGTCTCTCTCACGTCAATGTTCCTTCCTCTCTCTTCTTCCTTCTCTCCCTCCTGCTCTATCTGAAGATAAATGCAAAAACATCCTCAGGTGAGGATAAAAAAAAAATTTTTTAAGGTGACCTTCACTTTCCCCACAGTGACATGTTCTTTGTAACACAAATGTATTCATGCTATTAACAGAGGTAAAAATAACATTTTAATATGGAGCCTGCCAGCTAAATCCAGAATGTGAGAAACTATACAGGGTAAAGAACTCAATTTCTTTCCATGAAAAAATTACATTAAAAAAAAAAAGTGGGGCCCTGGCCAAGTGGCTCAGTTGGTTGAAGCATTGTCCCATATACCAAAAGGTTGTGGGTTCGATCCCTGGTCAGGGCACACGCCTAGGTTTCGGGTTCAATCTCTGGTCTGGGCGTGTGCAGGAGGCAACAGATCAATGTCTCTCTCACTCTCCGCCCCCTTCCTCTTCCTCTCAAATCAATAAAAACATATCCTTGAGTGAGAATTAAAAAACAAAAACAGTGGAGAAAGAGGACTCTTAATCTGAAAGATTTGAGACATTTTTAAAAATGCATTGTGGCCCGGCTGGTGTGGCTCAGTGGTTGAGCGTCGACCCATGCACCAAGAGATCGCCTGTTTGATTCCCGGTCAGGGCACATGCCCAGGTTGTGGGCCCTATCTCCAATGTGGGGCAGGCAGGAGGTGGCCAATCGATGTTCTCTCTCATCAATGTTTCTATCTCTCTCTTCCTCTCTCTCTAAAAATCAATAAAAAGAAAAGAACCAAAAATAAACATATAAAACATTTTAAATAATGTTTTAAAGCCCCAGGATGTAGTTGCCCTCATTTTGCAGGAACTGCTGACATCGTCATCCACTTATAGAGGAGGAAACTGAGGCACAGAGAAGTGGAGCATGTTACCCAAGGACATGCTGTGTGGGTACAATCACAATGGGAACGGAAGCTACATCTTTTTAGTTCCCCTTCCCTTGCCAAGCCCAGGACACTTTTCTGTGCCACTGGAGAGAAAAGGGTGAGACAAGAAAGAGCAGAGGCCAGGAGGTGAAAAGGTGCAGGGGAAAGGGGGTGAGAGCAGGAGACTGACCATAATGGCAGGAACAGCGGGACCTGAGGAACCTTCTGTGCTCCTTCTCGTTCCTTCCTGTGGGTTCAGGATGGAGTCAGTGAAGATACTAACCAATAAGATCTGGGAGAAAAATGTACTGGACTCCCGGGCCTGAGGGAGGAGGGGCTAGGGGCCCGGACTCCCGGGCCTGAGGGCGAGGGGCTGGGGGCCCGGACTCCGGGGTCTGAGGGAGGAAGGGCTGGGGGCCCGGACTCCCGGGTCTGAGGGAGGAAGGGCTGGGGGCCCGGACTCCGGGGTCTGAGGGAGAAGGGGCTGGGGGCCTGGACTCCCAGGTCTGAGGGAGGAGGTGGGGCTGGATCTCCTGATCCTAACAGGAGGGCCTGGGGTCTCACCCTGGCCTTGAGCAGCCGCTCCCGCTCTGCCACGGCCTGCTGCAGGAGCCGCTCCATGCGGGCGATGTCTGGGTATAGTGCCCCACAGCTAGGAGGAGGGAACAGAGGCCAGGACAGGTTACAATGGCCCTGCCTCTTCCCCCCATCTTACCCCCTTCTCCCTGATGTCTCACCTGTTCCCAGAGCCACAGTTCAGCAGCTGATAGAGTGGGTGTCTCCCAGAGTCACTGGCTGCTGGTGGGAGGGCTGAGGCCTCCAGGGGTCCTGGGAGAGAAGAAGTGGGGTTAGGAGGCTGGGATTCTCCCTTGTCCAAGCTTTTTCCACCTCTCCCCCAACTGACATCCATGCCAAGTTCTTCTCTTCTGCACTGCAGGAAGGGGGGGGGGTGAGTGGGGATGGAGGTCCTCACCAGTACAATGGAGGGACAGAGGCCGGGACCCCCTCTGGCTCATTCTCTCTCCCCTCTTCCGGGACAGGCTTCCATTTCTCTGGAGGCCGATGGAGCCCTGAAAACACACAAGATGCTCAATCTCAACCAGAAGTCAGAGGACTGACTGACAAGTAAAACCACCATCTAACCGACACAGATCCAAAAGCTATATCCACATGATGCCGAGTGAGAGCTACCAGTCACAGGGGACCAGAGTTTCATGTTCAGAATGGGCAAATCCATAGAGACAGGAAGTAGATTAGTGGTTGCCGGGGTCCTGGGGGAAAGAGGAAACTGAGGGGTGATGGCTAAAGGGTACTGGGTTTCTTTGGGGGTAATGGACATGTCCTAAAGTTGTGATGGTTGCACAACTTTGTGAATATACTAAAAGCCACTGAATTATAGTCCTTAACTGGTGAAGTATATGGTGTGTGAATTATATTTTGATAAAACTATAAAGCAAAAACCCAGTGTGGAGATCATGTGGGAAACCCAGACACTCTCCCACAAATTAGGGGTCGGGGGTCTATTGGAACAACCTTAATGGAGGCCAGTTGGCTTTTTTAATTTAATTTTATTTTTTTTATTTTTTTATCCTCACCCGAGGATATTTTTCCATTTTTTTGTACAGATAGAGTGGGAGGAAGAGAGAGGAAGGGAGAGACAGAAACATCGACGTGAAGGGACACATCGAGTGGCTGCCACCCGCACAACCAACCAGGGCCGGGGACAAACTGCAACCAAAGTACATGCCCTTAGCGGGAACCGAACCCGGGTCTCTCCGGACCGTAGGCCGATGCTCTAACCGCTGAGCCAAACCGGCCAGGGCAATTTTATTTTATTTTTTAAACAAATGCATAAATCTTTGAGCCCTGGTTCCACTTGTAGGACTATATCCTATGGATAGACTCATACATGTGCAACATGACCTGAGGTCAAGGTTATTCTCCCAGAAGCCTGGAGACCACCATAGTACACATAGAAGGGGGCAGGGTAAATACACCAGGGACCTTCGACACCGTAAAAAATTCTGCAGCATATACAGTAAAGGGAGGGGATGCTCTCTATCCAGAGAGAAAAGAATCTTCAAGAAAAAAGCAAGTACGGAGCAATGTGAAGATGACGTGTCTATGCATGAAGAGAGGGAGAGTATAGACAGGACAGAATGTGTAAACACAAAATACCTCCAAGAAGTTACAAGAAATTGGTTCCCCTGGCCGCCCCCAGCAGACGATCTGAATGGATGGAAATAATAGTGGAGGAGCCTTTTCTCTGAAGACCCTCCCATGCCCTTTGAACTTTGAACAAGGGAAATGCTAGCTTTAAAAATATAAACATGGCCCTGGCCAGCTTGGCTCAGCGGTTAGAGTGTCGGCCTGCGGTCCAGAGAGACCCGGGTTCGGTTCCTGCTAAGGGCATGTACCTCGGTTGCAGTTTGTCCCCGGCCCTGGTTGGTCGTGCGGGTGGCAGCCACTCGATGTGTCCCTTTCATGTCGATGTTTCTCTCTCTTTCTCTCTGTTCCTTTCTCTCCCTCCCACTCTACCTGAACAAAAAATGGAAAAATGTCCTCGGGTGAGGATAAAAAAAAATAAAAAAAATATAAACATGACAATTGAATGCAACCTGTGTTTCTGGAGCAGAATACAAATGTTTTCTTTGGTTTTTGCTAGGAAAAAAAATTAGTAAGACAACTAACAAAATATGAGTAAGATCTGGGGGTTTTAATTGTATCATCTCAATGTTAGTTTCCTGAATTTGATCACTCTACTGCAGTTATGTATAAGAATGGCCTTGCCCTGGCCAGTTTGGCTCAGCAATTAGAGCATCGGCCTACAGACCAGAGTCCCGGGTTCAATTTTGGCCAGGGACATGTACCTCAGTTGCGGTTAGTCCCCAGGCCTAGTTAGGGTCGTGCGGGTGGCAACCAATTGGTGTCTCTCTCTCACATTGATGTTTCTTTCTCTCTCTCTCTCTCTCTCTCTCTCTCCCCCCCCCCCCCCAACTCTGTCTGAAGATAAATGTAAAAATATCCTCAGGTGAGGATTAAAGAAAAAAAGAAGAAAGAATGGCCTTGCCCTGGCAGGTTTTCTCAGTGATTAGAGCATTGGCACATGGACCCATGAGTCGCGGGTTCAATTCTGGTCAAGGGCACATACCTCAGTTCCGGTTTGTCCCTGGCCCTGGTCAGGTTGTGCGGGAGGCAACCAGGCAATGTGGCTCTATCACATCGATGTTTCTCTCTCTCCCTCCCTTCCATTCTATCTGATAATAAGTAGAAAAATATCCTCAGGTGAGGAATTAAAAAACAAAACAAAAAAAAGGAATGGCTTTGACCTGAGGTAATAATACAGAAGTATTTAGGTATAAAGGGAATCACACTTGAGAAAAGACTAAATTGTGTGTGTGTGCATGTGTGTGTGTGTGTAGAGACAGAGAAAGAATAATAAAGCAGATGTCAAATGTGGTAAAATGTTAATTACAGAATCTGAATGACAGCTACACAAGAATTCTTTCTACTATTTCTGTAATTTTTCTGTAACTCTTAAATTATTTCAAAATAAAACATTACCAAAAAGTAGCAATAAACATATATGAGGGCAATCAAGCTAAAAATCATTTTTTAAAGGCAAAAAATAGCAACAGCTCTGTAAGGATAATAAAGAATAAAAAGTTGCATAATTTGAGCACCAATAAGGATACTCACTGCTATAGATTGTAACTTATCAAATATATTTAATCCATAGTAGATGGATTAATAATAACAGTAAAGGAAAATCAACTTGGTTACTTTGGGAGGATGCAAGAGAACAACTTGATTTTGAAGACAGGTGAATAAAGTGAAACCAACAAGCATTTTCCTACAAAAATCCTACCCCTGGGTAACAAAATAGTAAATGAAGGTAAGCTCCTCTTTATAGAATTGTTTCAGTCATACAAATAAATGTATCATCAGAAATTGCTGGGAGCGAAGAGAATAGAGAATTATAAAAGAGGGTCACCTTCTGCCCAGCCAGGTGGCTCAGTTGGTTGGAGTGTTGTCCCAGTACATGAAAAAAAGGTTGTGGCCCTGGCCGGTTTGGCTCAGCGGTTAGAGCATCTGCCTGCGGACCAGAGAGGCCTGGGTTCGGTTCCCGCTAAGGGCACGTACCTCCGTTGCAGTTTTGTCCCCGGCCCCAGCTGGGGTCGTGTGGGTGGCGATCACTCAATGTGTCTCTCTCACATTGATGTCTCTCTCTCTCTTCTTCCCTCTCTCCCTCCCGCTCTATCTGAAAATAAATGCAAAAAAAGTGTCCTCGGGTGAGGATAAAAAAGAAAAAAAAAGGTTGTGGGTTCGATCCCTGGTAGGATTAAGTACAGAAGGCAACCAATCCATGTTTCTTTATTTCTTTCTCTCTCTCTCATCAATAAACATATCCTTGGGTGAGGATTAAAAGAGAGTCACCTTCCAACCAGGGACAGCCTTCTGAAGGACACTGACCCAAGGTCCACAGATAACAGTTGGCCAGGGAAGACTGAGTGAAGAGTGTTCCAGGTAGAAGAATCAGCAAGTGCAAAAGTCCTGAGACAGGAACAAGAATGGAGTATTGGCTGGTCATTGCTCTTGCACCTGAGCAGAATATTGGGGAGAGTGGTGGGAGGTGGACGGGGGCCAGATCATGCAGGGGCTGGTAGGTCATGGTGAGGAGGCCCAGAGGGCCACTGAAGGCCTTTTTTTATTATTATTCCTCACCTGAGAATATTTTTCTACTTATTATCAGATAGAGTGGGAGGGAGGGAGAGAGACAGAGGGTAACACTGAGAAACATCGATGTGATAGAGCCACATCAACTGATTGCCTCCTGCACCACCCGACCAGGGCCAGAGACCAACCGCAACCAAGGTACATGCCCCTGACCAGAGTCAAACCCGTGACTCTTTGGTCTGTAGGCTGACACTCTAACTGCTGAGCCAGACCGGCCAGGGCCACTGAAGGCTTTTAATGGGGAGGACTGAAGTAGGAGGGCTGTTGTGTGAGGAATAAATTGTTGGGAGACAAAAAACAAGATGAAGACATCAGTGAGAAAGCCAGTATAGGGTCACAAAAACCAGAAGTGGATAGAAGGATGCCCATAATTTTAATACCACTAATAATTGTAACCGTCATCAGAGTACCAGCAGCCCACATTCACTGAGCATCTTACTACGTGCCAGGCACCACACTAAGCCTTTAACCATTAACCAGTGGATGCTGTTATTATTCCCATTTTGCAGTGAAATAAACTGAGGCACAGATATGTATCACGGCTACTTGGATTCTGAAGGATATCTAGAAACCCTAGACTCCTAAAAGGTACAAGCCATGGAAACAGACAGATTTAGTTCAAACCTAGCTCTGCCACTTACTGGGTGTGACCTTGGCAGGCCATTTCTCTTCTCAGGCTAGACTTCCCTCTGTAAAGTAGGCGATGGCCCACTGCCCTGCCGTGGTTGATGCAAGGATTAAATGAGTGACCTCATGCAAAGTACGTGCAAGAGTGCCTGGGCAGCCCCCCACGTGACACCCAGGTGCCAGGTGGGTATGAGATCCACATCAGCAGATACAGGGTCCACCTGGCTTCATGTCCACAGGTGCCAATAACTCAGGAAACAACTCCATAGGAATGGACACAGCTTTCCACCTAGTATTTATAGATATGCAACTTATTTATAAGGGTCATATTTACTCTAAGTCGGTTGCCTGGCAACCCAGCTGATACTCCACCCTTATCAGGCTTCCAGGGAAACCAGATAGAAAGTTGATTTCTCAGACATTATCTCCTCACCCTTTACCCAGTTGCTAGGACCTACTTTTGGGGGTTCTTCTGAGCAAACAATGAAATGGTATGTTTTTACATATATAATTTCATGAATATATATTATATATAATATGTCAAGTTGCCAATACTTGACTATTTTTCACCTCCAAATAATTGCAATTCCATATGGTTTAAAGTAACTAAAAAAAGGTTTCAAGCCCTGGCCAGTTTGGCTCAGCGGTTGCATGTCGGCCTGCGGACCAGAGAGTCCTGGGTTCGGTTCCCGCTAGGGGCATGTACCACACACAAAAAAATAGGTTTCAAGTAGACCCCAGCCTACATTAATCTCTCAAAAGTGATTATTATTAATATTAATTAATAAGAAAGAACATAATACATTGTATATTATATTATGTGACATATATATTAGACACTATGATAATAATTAAGATTAATTAATGTTATCATTGTGTGTACAAAGACATACACACACACATGGATCTTTATAACAGCATTGCTAAAACTGCAAAAACTCAAATCACCATCCACAGAGGGAGGGTGGCTCAATTCCCCCATGTAGAATTGTGTCCAGGTCCTGGCCAGGCAGCTCAGTTGATAAGAGCTTGTCCCAATACACCAAGGATGTGAGTTCGATCCCTGGTCAGAGCACATACAAGAATCAACCAATGAATGTATACATAAGTAGAATAACGGATCAATGTTTCTCTCTGTCCCTTCCACTCTCTCTCTCTCTAAAATCAAATTTAAAAAAAGAAAAAGACAGCCCCGGCAGCATTACTCAGTTGATTGGAGCATCATCCTGTGCACCAAAGGGTTGTGGGTTCAATTCCCAGTCAGGGCACACGCCTGGATTGCAGGTTCATCCCCGGTTGGAGTGTGTAAGGGGGGCAGCTGATAGGTGTTTCTCTCTCTCTAAAATCATTTTAAAAATATCCTCAGATGAGGATTAAAAAAAAAAGACATAGCCCTGGCCGGTTTTGCTCAGTGGTTAGAGCATCGGCTGCAGTCCAGAGAGACCTGGGTTCGGTTCCCGCTAAGGGCATGTACCTCGGTTGCAGTTTGTCCCCGGCCCTGGTTGGGTCATGTGGGTGGCAACCACTCGATGTGTCCCTTTCACGTCGATGTTTCTCTCTCTCTCTCTCCCTCCCACTCTATCTGAACAAAATATCAAAAAATGTCCTCATGTGAGGATTAAAAAAAAAAAAAGACATAACAGAATCGTGTCCTCACGGAAGTCCAGAGTAGATAAGAGCATAGGCTCTGAAAACAGAGTGCCTGGGTTCAAATCCTAGCTCTGCCACATACTAGCTAGTTAAGTAACTTCACCTCTCTGCCTCAGTTTCTCTGCCTATAAAATGGAGACAAGAACCTGGTTCACAGAGTTTTTGCAAGACCAAATCAGTGAATCATATGAAGCATTTAAAACAGTGTCTGGCACACAATACAGACTCAGCAAATATCAACTGTCATTAGTATGGCTGTCACTATTCACGTTGTTATTATTAGTCATTCACAATGATGAATCAACTCTAAATGCATTGGTGCAAAGCAATCTCCACAATAGAGTAGTAAATTATAAAATAAAAGCCAACTCACAGCTCATATACACTTTTTTGCAAAAACAGTTTCATGATATAACAAGACCTACCAATTTCTAAGCGCTTACCACACAACTGAAACAAAACTTGTGGCCTGGCTTTCACCCCGCCGCAGGCACCACACTCCGCCACGGTCTACTCTACTTCGTTGAAAACAATCAGTAGCAACCTATTCAAAAACCTTTGTCCCATTAATAAGTGGGGACTCCCATGTGTTAGAAAATCTGGAAAGAAGGATCCTCAAGAAACAAGAAGTTGTGCTGCTTCTGGGGAGGAAGCTGTGGGCCGGTGGAGCGAGGAGAGGAGGTCTTCTTATCAATATGCCCTGTTTGTTTGTTTGTTTGTTTATTTATTTTAAATTTTTTATTAATTTATTTTTGTTACAGATGTTTCTCCTTTTTTTCCCCATTGACACCCTCCTCCCCATCCCCCCCACCCCATCCCCGGCTTTGTTGTCCGTGTCCATCGGTTATGCGTACATGCATATAAGTTCTGTGGTTTCTCTCTCCCCTCCCCCCACCACCCCCTCTTCTGAGGGTTGTCAGTCTGTACCCTACCTCCACGTCTCTGGGTCTACCCAATTCCCCAGACTGTTCTGTTCGTTATATTCCACAATTAAGTGAGATCACCTGATATTTCTTGCCCTGTATGTTTTAAAATTTACTCCTGCGCGCACATGTTCCCATTTCTCTAGGGGAGGGGTGGGGTGTTAGGCAGAAGGAAAAACATAACGCTGGAGACTGATAACACCAAAAATACCCCTTGATCAACCTTCCCTGTCCCCCATGGCAGAGAAAGCCACAGTGGGGGTTCTGGAGAAGCAGTGACCAGTGGGACGGGGTGGGGGTGGGGGCCCACCTGCAGGGAGCTGTGAACCGAGAAGAGGCAGGAAGAGGCGGAGGCGGCAGCATGCGCAGTGGGGTCCTGGAGCACCAGCAACTGGCGGTCTGTCTTCTGCGTGAACAGCAGCTACGGGAGAGGGTGGCAGTAATAGGGGCTGGAGAGACTGCAGAGGACCCATCAGTTCCAGGAGGCTCCGGCCAATGTCTGCAGTGCCAGCCCATTTCTCAGATGGAAAACAACAAAGGCCCAGAGTCACAAGAGGGCTGGACTGTGATTTTACTGACCAACCTCCCAGCATGAGTGAGGACTGTGGGCAGAGACTGCCTGTTCCCTGAGGAGGAGGAGGTGGGGTCCCCAACTCCCGAGTCCAAGGCCAAAAGGATTAGAGGCTGGGAATCCTGGATCCCAAGGGAGGAGTGTCTAAGCACCTGCATGAAATCCCCATACCTTAGTGAGGGCCTGGTTGGGCTCAGAGAAGTCTCCGCCAGGGCTTCCCTGAAGGCAATTAAGCTCGAGCAGTCGGCTCCGCTCCTAGGGGAAAGCAAGACATCACAGACTGCCACACCTCCGAGTGGGAATGGGCCACCCCAGCACGGAGAGGAGATGGGATGCCATGGGGCAAGTAGGACAGTAGGGCTGGAAGCCACTTACCTGTGTCAGGGCCTGAAGGGCCTCCTCCTTCTTCCGGCTCAGCCCCCGGCTCTCAGCTGCCATCTGCTCCCCTAGTGACTTCAGCTGCTCCTCCAACACCTGGATCCGGCGCTGCAGGGCATCCCCAGTGTCCTCATTACTCAGCTGCCACAGGGTCCCCAGCTGGCTCCCACAAAAGCAGCCTGGGGTTTGCTCCACCCCATAACAGAGACCCTGGGACCGGGGTGCCTGGGAGGGGCTGGTGGGGCTGAGAGTTAAGCTCCCTTCTTCCTTTGGGGGTCCAGAAGAGGGGATGGAGGATTCGATATATAGACAGAGACCAAGGGACACAGAGACCCAGAGGGAGTCACCAGAGAGAGAGAGAGAGAGAGAGAGAGGGAGAAAGGGATAGACAGAGAAACAAACCAGAATAGATACAAAAAAGAAGGATCCAGACAGGATCCCAAGATGACAGAGATGCAGAGAAAGAAGACAAGGCAGAAGCAGAGATGGACAGAAGCTGTGTGAGACAGAGGAAAGGCCTGGGGGCAGCATCTTTTTGGCCCAGGGTTTGACAGGCATAGAGTGTAGTGGTGAAGACTGAGTAGGTTCAGAGCTCCAGCCTTTACAAACTAAGTGACCTCGGAAAAGATGATGTGAATATCCTGACCTTCAGTTTCTCCATTTATAAAATGGGAAGAAATCAGATTGCCTCCTAGGATTGCTGTCAGGATTCCATGACTAAATACCCATGAAATGTTGCTGTGTGTCTGGCACACAGTAAGTGCTCAATAAATGCCAGCTAGTGTTGTTACTATTATGAAGAACATGACATGGGTAGGAAACAGAGAAAGGGCCAGACACGGAGTGGAAAAGACATAGGGTGATGTGAGGGACGCAGGCTTGTCTAGCCCAGCTTACTTTGTGCTGTGCCACACTGGCCTGAAGCTCCTGGACCTTGGAGTCCAGCACCCATGCTCCAGGGCTGTCCCGATGATCCTCCTCCTCCTGTCGGCTCTCCCGCTCCAATTGCTGGAACTCCAGGTCCTCATAGGCACGCTGGGCCGCATCCAGCTGTTCCCTAATCTGTTGGCAGAAATGCAACAGAACTGGAAGCCTGGAACCCTAGGGCTCAGGAGAGGAAGGGGCTGAGCCAGGACTCCTGGTCAAAGAGGGAAGAGGCACTGAGGGGCTAGACTTGAGTCCTGGGGGTTAGGGGACTCTGGGGATGAGGGGATTAAAGCCCTGTACTTCTGGGTCTTGATGGGGAAGGGACCTGGACACCGGGTCCCTGAGAGGGTCCACAGGGCCCTTACCTCCTGCACGCCCTGCAGAAGCCGCTCGTGCTGGTCTTCTGGCTGTGAGTCGAGCTGTCTCTGGGCCTCCTGTAGTCTCTGACGAAGGCCTTCCACGCGATCCCGCTCCTGGCTCAGCCGCCTCTGCTCCTGAAAGAAAAGCCAGGCTTTTAGCCTTCCCCTGAGCACAAAGGATGGACACAGAGGCCAGCAAGGGCCAGGCCTTGGGTTAGCTCCGTGAGGGCAGGGACCCCATGTGTCTGGTTCACTCTTGTACTGGCCTACCCAGAGAAGGCATCGTATAAACAGTTATTCAAGAAATGAATGAATGCAAAACATATCCATGCTGGATGACTGATACTGGGACCCAGAGTAGGGGCTGGGGGCGGGGCGGGTGGTTAGACATGGTCCCTGGGTTCCAGGGCAGAACACAGACAGTTACAGCCTGGGACAATCAAAGCAATGAAATGCAGAGACTATAAGAACCCAGAGTGGGGAGCAACTTCTATTGGGGTAATTCAAGGTTTCCTGGATGTAAGGATTTTAAGGTGACCCTCAAAAATCAGAGAGCATTTAGACCTAGGGAGATGAGGGGGCTGGAAGGGCATTTTGGACAGAGGGAATGGCATGTTGCAAATGCACCAAGAAGTTGAACAGTATGGGAAGTTTAGAGACAAACTCTGGTCAGGCAGGAAGAAGACGTGGTGGAGGGAAAGGGCAGTGGAAAGGCAGGCGCAGCTCATGTGGGTTTGGTCAACCAGGCTAAGGACCCCTTATCCTGGAGCAATGGGGAGCCATGGAAGGATTGAAAGGATGAAGTAGAACCTAGGTGTGGAATCATCCCTCTGGGAGATGGATTCTAGGGGTTGACACCAGCTCCTTCATGAGTCCTCCAAGTAATGAGGATGAGACCTACACTGGGCCTGGGGTGCAGGGTTGCAAAGGAGATAGACTCGAGACAGAGGATCAGGGAACAGAAAGGACAGGACAAGTTGATTGACAGGCTTGGGTGTGAAGGATAGGGAGGTGTGCAGAGCAAGGTCCAGGACTCTGGCCTGGTGACGGAAGGGAGAGCAAGATAGGGACAGTGTAGAAAAGGGAGCTGCTGAGATCAGCTTTGGTTATTGTGACAGAAGGGCCTGGACTCCTGGGTCTGAGGAAGGAAGAACTGGGGGGCCTGGACTCCTAGGTCTGAAGGAAGAGGAGGCTGGGGGCCTGGATTCCTGGGTCTGAGGAAGGAGGGGCTGGGAGCCTGGGTTTCTGGGTCTGAGGGAGGAGGGACTGGGGGCCTGGACTCCTGGGTCTGAGGGAGGAGGGGCTGGGAGCCTGGGTTTCTGGGTCTGAGGGAGGAGGGGCTGGGGGCCCAGACTCCTGGGTCCTGGGGGAGGAAGGTGCATCTAGGAACCAGTACATTAAGAAACAGGACACAGAGGTCTAGATTACAGGAGTGAAATCAGGGCTGGTAGAAATTAAGGCTTTTTGAAGGTGAACAAGGACCCAGGACCCAAACCAAGGAAGTTACAACATACAAGGAAAGGGCAAAGAGAAAAGCTGATAGAATTACAAAGTTACCATTTTCTAAGCTATAATGTTAACTGATCCAAGCAATGACCACCAATGGGTGGATGTTAAAGCCTTTAGGTAAGCGATTATTACGAAGGGATCAGAGTGACCTCACTGTGATCTTGACCACCAGAGATAACATCTCCCTGACCCAGTGCACTGGAAGCACTAAGCACATCTGAATCTGATCCAGCCTGTACTTCTAACCCACCACCTGCCGCAGGAAGAGGAACACAGCAAAGGAACACGGCCCACATCCTGACCATGGGCCAGAGGACTTGGTTTCTCTAGCACATAGTATGGAAAACAATAGGAGGTAGGGGCTATTAGAAATAAAACAACACACATAGGGCATTTCAACCCTTTTGGGGACCTGATTCAAACAGCCAACTGTTAAGTGGCTGTCAGGTGGCATTTTTGAGACAATCTGGAAACATGAAAACTGGAAATAAGACAATATTAAGAACTTCCTAATTCTTAAGGGATGATGATGATATGGTGATAATGTTTTTTAAAAGGGGTTCTTATTTAAAAGTAATAGGATGCCTGAGCTTTCAAAACTAGGGATAGGGACGCAAACTGAGGGACATGAAACAGGAATGGAAGTTAAGCACTGCTGAAGCTAGTGAATGCCACATGGCAGCCATCTGACTCTTCTATTTTTGTTGACTTCATGTTTTTCACGATATGACCTTAAAAGAGCAAAGAGAGCCCTGGCTGGTTTGGCTCAGCAGTTAGAGCGTCAGCCGGCGGACCAGAGAGTTCTCGGTTTGGTTCCCATGAAGGGCATGTACCTCAGTTGCAGTTTGTCCCCGGCCCTGGTTGGGGTTGTGTGGGTGGCAGCCAGTGGATGTGTCTCTCTCAGGTGGATGTTTCTCTCTATCTCTTCCCCTCCTCTCTCCCTCCCACTCTATCTGAAGATAAATGCAAAAATGTCCTCAGTGAAAAGAAAGAAGAAAGAAGAGAAGAAAGAAAGAAAAGAAAGAAGAAAGGAAGGAAAGGAAAGGAAAGAAGGAAGAGGAAGGAAGGAAGGAAGGAAGGAAGGAGGAAGAGAAAGAGAGAGAAGGAAGGGAGAAGAGAAGAGAAAGAGAAAGAGAGAGAGAGAAGAGAAGGGAGAGAGAGGGAAGAGGAGAAGAAAGAAAGAAAGAAAGAAAGAGAAAGAAAGAAAGAAAGAAGAAAGAAAGAAAGAAAGAAAGAAAGAAAGAAAGAAAGAAAAAGAAAAGAAAGAAAGAAAGTTAGTTTAACAAAGAGAGAGGGGCAAAGGAAGAGGCACCAGTGATTCAGGCCCCAAAATCATGGTCAGGGAGGCAGGAGGGAAATAAGGAGATGCACCTCTCCATCACCACCTCCCATCCCAGCCCAAGTATCCCCATTAAGGAAATAGGGGTAACCCTAATCCTAGGAGCCCCTGGTCCCAGGAGCCCCACCAGGAATATTCCTCCCACAAGAAAGGAAACTGATGATGAAGACCCAGCAGGACAAACAGACCTGTTCCCGCTGCTCCCGGCAGCACTGCCCCGTGTCCACCTGTTGCTGCTCCAGGAGCTCCCGGAGCTGCTCCTCCTCCCGCCGGGCGGCCACTCGCTCCCCAGCCAGCTCACCCCGCAGCAGGGCCACCTCCACCTCCATCTGCGGAGAGAATGCAAGGGCTGGGGCCTGGAGGTCTGGGGGAGGAGGCGGCTGGAATTGGATCCCGTAGGAGGAAAGGGCTTGGAGACTTCCCATGAGGTCTGCAGCCTCACCTCGATCCTCAGCTCCTTCCTCTGGCGCTGTAGCTCCTTCACTCGCTGCTCCATCAGGGCCACTCGAGTCAGTGCCTCCAGCTTCTGCCCTCGAAGCCGCTGCGCGGCGCCTCGTACCCCTTCCTTAGATTGGGAGGGTGTGTGGGGCGTGGCCGGGATCTGTACTGGAGGCGGGGCCTCCCCCTGAGATAAGAGAGGGTGTAGTCAGCTGTGGCCAGTTTGGCTCAGCGGTAGAGCTTCGGCCCACGGATCAATGGGCCACGGGTTCGATTCTGACCAAGGGCATGTACCTCGGTTGTGGTTCGTCCCAGCCCTCGTCGGGGTCGGGCGGGGTCGTGCAGGCGGCAACCAGTTGATGTGTCCCTCTCACCTCGATATTTTTCTCTCTCTCTCCCTGTCTTTCCCTCTCTTTCCCTCCTACTCTATCAGAAGATAAACAGAAAAATATCCTCAGGTGAAGATAAATAGAAAAATATCCTCGGGTGAGGATTAAAAAAAGAGAGAGGGTGTAGTCAAGTGGAGAGGCCTCACCTCTTGCAGTCACTAAATAGATCTGTTCCACCGGGCCTGTGTGGCTCAGTGGTTGAACACTGACCCATGCACCAAGAAGTCACCAGTTCGATTCCTGGTCAGGGCACATGCCCAGGTTGTGGGCCAAATCTACAGTGGAGGCATGTAGGAGGAGGCCAACTGATGTTCTCTCTCATTGATGTTCTCTCTCCCTCTCCCTTCCTCTCTCTCTAAAATAAATAAAAAAAAAATTTTTTGTTTTTATATAAATTTTTTGTTTTTATATAGATTTTTTGTCTGTTCCCCACCTCATACCCCCCTCAGTGGATCTTAATCAGCCTAACTCAACCACTGTGCTTTTATTCAAGGGAGAGTGTATGTCTGGTGACCACCCAAGAGGAGGCCCCAGGGTTTCGCAGTCCTGGGAGGGGATAAAGGAAGGTGTTTCTTTTTCTCTAACCAGGTCTTATCTCTGAGCGTCAAGTCCTGGTAGGCCCTGGATCTCCCCCTCTTTCTCCCCAGGTCTCTCTGAGTCTTTCCCCGTTTCTCTGGGCTTCGTCTCTCCCACTGAGTACCTGTCTTCTGTCTCTCATTTGCTACTTCTCTTTCTTCCTCGGAGTATCTCCCTCTCTCAAGGTTTCTGTCTCTATTTTTTGTTTCTCTGAGCATCCCTGCCCTGTTTCTGGGTTTCTGTCTCTAGATCAAGCTCTCTGAGTCTCTATCTCTGGGTCACTCTCTCTCTGGTCTTCCTGTGTCTCTTTCCCTTTTGAGTCTTTGCCTCTCGGTCTCCCTGCCTCTGGGATTCTGTCCATCTGGTCTCTATACCGGTCCTCCAGGTGTCTCTGTCTTTCACTGGGTCTGAGTCTCCCTGGCTCTGTGTCCGGGTCTTTGTTTCTCAGAAGTTTCCATATCTCTGGGGCTCTCTCCCTGTCTCCGGATCTCTATCTGATCTCTCCATGCCTGTCTCTCGCTGTCTCTGTCACCTGCTCTGGGATCCCCGGTGGCTCCCGCCCTCCTGGTCCCTCACCGCGTCGCGGCTGCTCTCAGTGCTGCTGCCTTCTCCCACTTCTTCCTCTTCTTCCGCCTGCTGCTCAGCTCCTCGGCCGCTCGGAAGCTCCGCCGGGACCTCGGAAGTCTCCTGCTGGCGGGGGTACTCGGGGTGCTCCCGGGGCTGGGAGGCCCCTTGGGGTTGAATCTTCTCATTGCATTCTGGGACCTGAGGCGGCGGGGTCCCCTCATCGGGGCTGCTAGGTGTCCCCATGACGGCGGCGCGCTCCTGCAAGGGGGGCGGGGCCCGGCGTTCCGGGGGCGGGGCCTGGCCGCGTGGGGGCGGGGCCCAAGAGGCCTTGGAGCTCCGCGGGACTGCTCCAAGGAGGCGAGGCCTACGAGTTCAAAGGATGGGACTGAGCGTTCCGGGAGGGCGTCCTGAGTTTTAAGAGGCAGGATTCGAGGGCTCCTAGGAGCCACGCCCCCGGAGGCGAGACCGAAATTTGAGTCCGGAGTCCTAGCACGCCCCCTATTGGTTTCTTGCTTCTATCCAGGTGTGGCGACTTGTACTCTCCCGGCAGCCCCCTCCACGATCCCTGAACCACCTTACAGCGACCCCGTCTCCTTCCCCCTCGGGGAGTCAGGAGTCCGGGCTCCCGCCCCCTGCTCTCCGAGCCTGGTAGACTTGGCTCTGACCCCAATGTAGGGAGCGGCACACCTGCCACCTCATCCAGGGACCCAGGAGTCGGGACTCCTAGTCTCCCAAGACAAACCAGGAGTCTGAGCCCTCAGCTCCTCCCGGGAACCAGATTCCCGAACTCCAGCCTCCTCCACCCCTGCAGACCCAGGAGGTCAAGTCTCCAGCTCCCTGCTGCCCGGCAGCCCGGATCCCCTCACCCGCTCAGGATTCGGCGCGCTCCGCTCTGCACTCTGGGCGCTGTCGTTTCTGCCTCCGAAACAGGTGGCTGGGGAAGAGGGAGGAGAGAGGCGGCTCTGTCCCCCTCCCCAGCAGCCCGGAAGTGGAGGGGGGAACACAACAGGTCCAACAGCTCCCGAGGGAGGAGGGAGCGACCAGCTTGCCCCGCCCGCGGCCTCTGCATCCGGGCATCCCGGCCCCACCGGCTCCACCCTCGGAAAACCCAGCCTTGCGACCCCTCACTCTGCCTCCAGCGCCCCCATCCCTGCCCCATGGAGGGCCAGGTGTCTTGAGCACATTTGTATAAACGCCTCTCTAATGCCCAGACCCTGGGAATACTTGAAAGGAAGAAGGGAATGCAGATAGGGGCCTCTCCCCTCTAATGAGCCCTTTAGAAGGGCCCCGACCGGTTCGGGGAGCTGGGCAAGGGGAGGGGGTGCCCTGAGCTGAGTCAGAGACCCGCCCAGAGACGGGGGAAGTGTGTTCCCCCCACTTTGCTATGGGGTGGAGGAGAGGTTAAAGGTGTGTCTGCCAGACCCTTTCCTCTCTGGGCAAAAACAGGAAAATAACTGGTGCATGAGAAACTATTATTGGATGTCAGGGGCTGTGCTAAAACTTTACACACGTTAATTTTAATTGCATTCTCACAGCAGTCTAGCGAGGAAAGGATGTCTATCTCCACTTTATAGTTGGGGAAACTGAGGCTGAGAGTGACAAGTGTGTCCAAAGTCTATCCATGTTATTGTCAGCATCCGATATGTTCTCTGGAAAGTCTAGGTTCTTAACCATTAGGCATACTGTCACTCCCAAGTCAGGAAGTGCCTGAAAGAGGGTTCCAAATGACAGCGACAGTAATAGTTAACATTCATCCTCATCTCCCAAGACTTTATGCTGTATCTATTACGGAAACTACTTTGGAGGCCACGCTGGTAGATGTTGTGGGTATGGGGGCTTAGGGTGTGGCTATCACTGGGACTTTGGGACAAATCAATGAGTATGATGATTAGGGTGGGCAGTGACATGGCTGCTGTCATTCACTGTGCTGACAAACGTTCTATGGCTTCTACTGAAAACCTTGACTGCTTAAAACAATTCCTCAGAGTCTCATCAGCTCAATTTCAAATGATAAGAAATCCTCTTCTTTTCACCCATAGTTTATAATGGATGATCACTTCTCCATTGCTGAGGAACCCTCCACTGCTTGTCACTATAGATACAGGGGTCAGTCTATGTCCATCACACATATCAGATTTCCTGGGCATCTTAAATAGCTGAGCGCTTGAATTGCAGAGGTCAATTCCCCATGTGGTTCCTCTTGCCAAATTTATTTTTAAGTCTAATATCAACTATTTCTCCTGTACCCCATCTTACAAGGCTAACAGTTTCACTTTTTCAATTTAAAAAATTTTAATCTTCCTTTAAAAAAAAAAAAAAAAGTGGTTAACACTGATGCCAAGCACCTCACACATATAGACTCATTTTATAGATAAGAAAATCGAGGCCTGGAGAAAAGAATGACCTTATCCTGGGTCTCATGGGGGGAAATGGCTCAAACTCAACATGGTGTTCTAATCTAAGGCACTGAGAAGCCCTGCCCCAGACATCTGTTCGTTTCTGCTCTTTTGAGTTAGAATATCTCCTCCTTTGGGCTCTCTGGCTCTGCACCTTGTCCCACTCTCTGGCCTCTCCAGGGACTAGAACTAACCCCCAGGCACCTCAGCCCAGAAGCCCAGCTGTTTCCCCAGAAAACAGACAGAAGTCAGATTCAGAGCAAGAAAAAATTTTTTTTTATTTAAGAAGCTTGAGGGCAGGTGAGGGAGGGGAAGAGAAGAGAGGTTCCAGTGGTAGTACTTTTCCCCTCACCCCACCTAGTGCATTTTTAATGGATATGAGCACCTGACAGAGATAATGTCAGGAAGGGGGGGTCTGGACCCCACAGCGCATGTTAGCTGGAACAGCCACATCTGAAAGTAAGAAACCAATGGTAAAACCAATGTGCCCCAGCAGGTGCCCTCTCCCCAAGCTTAAATGGAACCCAGAAATCCTAAGAGCTGTCTTCTTTGGGAAACTAGAGTTCTGGCCCTGAGCCTCCTCCTCCCTCAGACCCAGGGGTCCTGGCCCCCAGCTCTTCCTCCCTCAGACCCAGGAGTCCAGGCCCCCAGACCCTCTTCCCTCAGACCCAGGGGTCCAGGCTCCCAACTGCTCACCTATCTGCTGAGGCTTGGGCAAGTTCAGGTTGTCCATGACCTTGATGAACTCCTCACAGCTGAGGGTGAGCCGAGGGTTCAAAGTCTTCTCCTCCTCCACAGTGGACACTGTGAGCCCTAGAGGCCGAGAGGGGGAGGAATGTCCATCCTTCGGTGTCTCAGGCCTCCCAGGACTACATTTCCCAAGAGGCTTTGGGGTTCCTGGGAAGAATAAGCTTTTCCCAGAATGTTCCTGAAATTGCTTTCTCTCCTAAACGGGCAATCTGGGAAATGTAGTTTCTCACAGTTCCCTGGACTATAAATAGGTCCCAGGAAAATCTATGCCCTCCGGAATTCTAGGAATTGTGGTTTCTACATCCACACTCAGTACACATAAGCACTTGATTGTTTTGGCCAGAGGAATTTCTGGGAATTGTAGGCCCATGCCCCATGAGGATTACAGCAGTTTGGTGCTCCCTGTCAAATAGTAGTAAATTATTCCCATACCTCCTCTAGGAAGCCCTCACCATGGTAATCATGAGCAGGGTAGATCAGACAGTCTCCTGGGAGCGTAAAGATCTTTTCGTGGACCGAGCGGTACAAGGTCCTAGCACAGCCTGGGGAGGAAAAACTCAGAGATCAGACTGTTTTGGGAGTGGATACAGAGGAAAATAGGCGCCTCAGAGAGAAAAAGACAGAGAGAGATGGAGAGATAAGGGGAGAGGAAAGAGGAAGTAAGAGGCAGCCTGGGGACCTGGTTACCACTGCCAGCTCAACATGCCACGTCTTTCCCCTCCTCCAGTCTTGCTCTCCTCCCACAAGGCAGCTAATTCTTTCCAGTCTAGCCCTGGCCGGTTTTGCTCAGTGGTTAGGACATCAGCCCAAGGACCAAAGGGTCACAGGTTCAATTCCAGTCAAGGGCATGTACTTTGGTTGAGGTTCGTCCCCCGCCCTGGTTGGGTTAGTATGGGAAAACAACCAGTCGATGTGTCTCTCTCACATGGATGTTTCTCTCTCTCCCTCCCTCCCACTCTATCTGAAGATAGATGGAAAAGTATCCTTAGGTGAGGATTAAAAAAAAAATCTTATCAATCTACTGTCAACCTCACATTCACACACACACACACGCACGCACTCATTCAAAAGTCAGCAAAACCCTGAGATTCTGACTCTTCCTTCCCACAGCGAAACTCCAGCAGCTAAACCCCAAATGTAACACGGACCCCAAGCAATCAAAACACTGACTCTAACAATTTCCTAGCAGTCAAACTCCTGAATCTAACTCCACTTGCCCCCCACAGACACCTCCAGCAGCTAAACCCCTTATTGGGTTTTAAAATATGTCCACAAACTGACACTCCTCAAAATATAACACCAATTCCCTTGACCTTGACTTAGTGGTCTGGATTAAGGGAGTATCTAAAAAATAAGATATTGCAGAAATGACAGAGTTTAATTTAAGAAACTAGGTATTAAAAGAAATTAGGGCCCTGGCCAGTTTGGCTCAGCGGTTGAGCATCGTCCTGCGGACCAGAGAGTCTCGGGTTCGGTTCCCTCTAGGGGCACGTACGACAAAAAAAAGAAATTAGGGCTCTGGTTAGAGTGTCAGCCCTCAACCAGAGTCAAGGGTTCGATTCTGGTCAAAGGCATGTACCTGGGTTGCAGTTCAGTCCCTGGCCCTGGTCGGGGTTGTGTGGAACCTGTCTGTCTCTCTGTCTCTCTGTCTGTTTCTCTCTCTCCCTCTCTCCCCCACTCTGTCTGAATATAAATGGGAAAATATCCTTGGGTGAGGATTTATAAAAAAAAAATTAGGTCTCCTGCCCTGGCCGGTTTGGCTCAGCCATTAGAGCGTCAGTCTGTGGTCCGGAGAGACCCGGGTTCGGTTCCTGCTAAGGGCATGTACCTCGGTTGCAGTTTGTCCCCGGCCCTGGTTGGTCGTGTGGGTGGCAGCCACTCAATGTGTCCCTTTCACGTCGATGTTTCTCTCTCTCTATCTTTCTCTCACTCTACCTGAACAAAAAAGTGGAAAAATGTCCTCAGGTGAGGATAAAAAAAAAAAAATTAGGTCTCCTGATTGGGGAGAATCCAGCTGCCATGTTGTGACGACACTTGGCCCCACAAAGAGGTCCACGTGGACAGAGGTCCACGTGGGAAGGAACGGAGGCCTCCTGC